GCCTGTTAGAATGAGCTTAGTAGCTTCATCTAGGAGCCAAAGAAGGCAAAGAAAATTAAACTATTGATTTTGATATATGTTTACTTTGAAGGCATTTGTTCTTGATGACACAGTCTTGAAGGTAATATTTGCAGCCAAATTTACATATTTTCATCAGGAAATAGTTCTTCAGCTAAAATACAGTTCTGCGATATGACTCTTAACATATTACACAGTCATCACCCTAGAGTTAAGATGAGGTAAAATCATAGTTGGAGACTACATTATTTGGACCCTGATTCTAGAACTTCTGAAAAGTCAAAGCACTGACTGTTTTTGCCATATGAACACAGGAGTAGGCCAGAAGCACATCCTGGTAAGGCAAAAACGTGCAGTCTCAGAGTACACTTAGTTCAGAGATAATTAGGTAACCAGAAGTCAAATGTGAAAATCTGTCTCCTGCTACAATCACAGCAGGACTGAGATGCAGATTTGGAATGACCAGCATACTGGCTCCATGTCAGATCAAACATGCTCAAGAAGAGACTTTCAATACAAGCATTCACACCTGTGAAACACACAGATGAACTTAGCGGTACCAGTCTCCTGTCAACACAGAGGACTCCTTGCTAGAGTTTTGTTCTTAACCCATCAGTTTTGGTTATTTCCTGGTAAAGATATCTTTTGTTAGTAGGTTGCAGCAGCAGCTTCATGCTTCAAATCCTGTTCAGTCTGATTCCTAACAAAAGTCTGAAATACCAGACTGGGGAGCATGTCTGAACTGCCGCAGTGAAATTGTACAGTCATTATGACACAACTACATCTTCGGGAGATGACAGTTCCCAGACACCACAGTGTTCTTGCTTCTTTTTCTGAAATGCATAAAATGAGTTTTCATGTATGTACCATAACAGCTACACGTTCAAGCTCTTTGCACAGGCTCACTTGTGGCTGAACTTCTCATCTGTCTGATACCTTGATCCTGCAGCACCATGGCTAGATAACTTCATCCAGGCTGGAAGCTGGTACTTCCACCAACATGGTGGAGTGCTGGGTAAGGACCATGGACAGCGACTGCTTGCTGCAGGTGGGGGAAATGGTGTTTGACGCTGGGAAAAAAGGATTGGATTTGGACATTGATAGTTCAACATCAAAGGGATCCAACCCAGAACCTGGCAGTCAAAATACTACACTGTTTTACTAACCTTAAATTAATCGGTGTTTGATTGAGATCGGGTGAGATTCAACTCATGGGTTGCAGTGAAAGTTGCCAATGTTTTTATCGTTTGTATGACTGTTTTCCAAAACACTGCTCTGTAAAAGAATTTTCCTAGTGTAGAACCACCATAAGTAATCATGTTTAAACTTACTGGAATATGCTTGTTCATTGTTTCAGTCTGGAGATACTGGTCTTGACTGCTGTCACTTCCTCTATATAACTATAATATAACTAAATACCTATAACTGTAGGTCTTTGTAGCCAGTCATCTCTTACCATATTACATAGAGGGAAGTGCCCTGATGACTTACAAATAAGAAGTGCATGTAAGTATCTTCTCTGAAACTAACCTAATCAGTCAGCTTCCCTAAGACTGCACTGCTAGACTTCACTTGTTTCAGTAAGAGAAAGTTGTTCATTCACCCGTGTCTTCCTCTAATCATACCTAGGCATTCGAAAGGCCAGCCTGTCTCATCTAAAACAGAACCAAACATGGTGCATCTTGCCGGTATTCCTTTCCCGCTGAGTATCTTGAGACAAGCAACATCCTTCAACTGTTCCATCTAGTACAAGACAGCTGTAAAATGGCAACATGAGATCATGCTATAATCTTTGCTGGATATTGGTTTGTAGAGAGCAACTGTTAATCTGAAACAGTAGGAGTCTAGTTTTTGCTAGTTATGTGTAGTGAATTCTGAACTATTTTAAAAAATATACTGCTTACAAATCTATTGGAATCTGCCTAGGGATCACAAACAAAGCTGAAAATTGTTGTTCCTAGGTAATATGAAACTTTCATTCACTGTGTCGAGTTTGGGGAGCAGTTGCATACATTGAGTAATCAGGAAAATTCAGTTCTTCCCTTTGAAGAAATGCACACATTTTTTCTGCTTTTTCAATACACTGAATTGTATCAAGATACCAAGAAACTGACAGAAGACTTCAGCCTACTGTTTGTGTGAAGCATATGGAGATGCTGGGCAGATACGTAGTCTTCATGGATATCTTTGAGCTTAAGGTGTAGAGATTTCACATTCATTTTCACAAACACATTTACTTAAAATAAAGATCAAAATTTCAGAGCAGCAACACTTTAGACCACTTTCACTCTCTGAGGCACACCACTTTTCATACTTTCAGTTCCTAAATATTCTTAACTGTTGTGGTTACAACACCCCTGCCTAATAAAAGCAGAAATAGGACAAACTGAACCTGGAAAATGTGTCATCTACAGCCATTGACAGTGATATACTCAAACCACTTCACTTTTTGAAAGTTCCTCATTTATCTTATTATCATAGGCTTAGTACTAGGAGAAAACCAAAACTGGTCAGCCTCCTTGGAGTGGAGTACCTGATTATATCTTCTGTAAGAGTCACTGGATTTTTCTATGAAAACACCTTGTCCTAAAAACTTCCCAGGGCTTATGCTGTTCTTAAGTTGGATACTCCTGCTCTCTTTTCTTCTTCTCGTCCACTAAGTTCTGTCTCATAGCAGTTTCTTGTATAGTAAGAGAAGCTGCATTCAGACAGGTAAAATGAGCCACTACTTTTTTTTGTTTGTTTGTTTAAATCAATGAGCGATATCTGTTGTAAGAGAGTGAGTTAATTATTCATGGCAACCATTGCACAACAGAGGTAGTATGCAATGTTTTTGGCTGAAGGAGGAAGCAATTTGTTGTTGTTCAAATAGAACAAGCATATGAGTTGTGAGTTAGGGATCTGAAACCTTTCTGTAAACTGCAGCTTTTCTTTTTGTGACCAAGAATTACAAGAAGATTGATCAGGCTGTTGGTACAGGCTTAGGAAAGAGTAAACTGGGCAAAGATCACTGAACTTGCTTTAAAAAAGTTTGCAGTTTAAAATATCACCAAGCTTGCTGGTTTAGGGAGATTTTTCACAGTTACATTAGGCAGAACACTGCTTTTGTCGTTCAGACCTCTCTCGTTGCATGTAGAGGAGCTGGCAAGTTTGGCTCATCTGCAGGTCTGCAGCAGTGGATACCACCAAAACATTTGTACATATAAACTTTGTTGAATTTTTAAAATGCTGCAAAAGTATAGTTAAGGCCCGAGGAGAGTATGTTAATGCTGAATGTTTCCTGAGTAGAGGAAATTATAGCTATGTTTCTGCGTCAGCACCAATTCTTGGATGTTTTAGGTAGAGACTATTGAACCTGATTAATCTAATTATAATCCTTTCTCAGAATAAATATGGTTTGTACAAAGCTTCTATCATACTTTTTTGATATTTGGATTTGATCTGAACAGGTAGTTGGAGTACTTGAATTACGGGATTATGAAGCATTCTAGCTTCACAACTGTATTTGAAGCAAATAATTCATATTTGTTATATAGCTTAACATTTCTCTCTCTTACCTAATTTGCCTTGTTCATTTCATTGAAATTGGCTCTATTACTTCAGTAATTATTTTCTGACAGAAGATTTCATCTGGGATATTCAATTTTCAAGGGCAAGGAATGGAATCCAACTCAAAATCATTGAATTAGGGATGTTTATAAACATGTCAGATTCTCTTAGGGTCATTTCCAAAAGACTTAATTTCCTCTGTCCCACGCTGCAAGTGGTGGATCTGATTCTGGCTAGGTTACTTTGGTGAAAGAATTACTAGTTATTGTTTTGCTTTTCTAAGAAATATTTTATATAGCCTGTCATAAAATAATGCAAACTTTTCATTATGAGTGATTTGTACTTAAGAACACCTACTGCATTAAACCTTAAAGCATACTGGATGTCTCCATTCAAATGATGCAGTAATATTTGAAAGAGTTGGTAATAGTTTCAGGCAGCCAAGATACTTGGTTAATAAATTCTAGAAGGTTTGGTACCTGCTAGTTAGCAGAAAATCCCAGGAGAGGGATATACTTACCTTCATGTCATCACTTCATTTAACCCTGCAGAAAGAATTGAACATTTGACTTCATTAAAACCTGTTTGGGTGGCTTGAATATTTTGTGAAGAAAAATGTGGTTCTGGAATTTGCATACCTAATGTTTGGGTTTTGCTTTCAGCTGTTGTTCTGAAATTTACTGAAAAGCATGTTGGTGACTAAGAAAGCTATAGTCATAACTATATTGCTAGCAAGTAACTTGAGAAAATACTATTCCCTGCATTGCCAGATAATACTGTGTCTAAAGAGTTTTATGATTTGGATGAAGAAGAGGGACAGGACACAGACCAACTTAATAAATGAAAAGTTAATGGATCACTGTTATACCAGTGTGTCTTCTTTTTACAGTATGCTCTATAGAATCTGTTTGCAAAGGTGAAGGTTTGTTTTCTCACAGCCTAAGTTGTGAGGACAGATTGCAAAGAAACCTATTTTGAAATGCATCATGACTGTCTATTGTTTTCTTTATAAGTTAACAAATAAGTAAAACCCTACAATTTTTACCTCTTTGTTTTATAAAGTAAATCTGTAGTAGTCTGGCAAATCCAGATAATTCCATCGTAAACATTTTAATGAAATTTGCATACTTCTATTTTTTGTCTTGTTCCCAAGAACATCTGTGCAGAAGTGATGATATTTTCATGCTAGAGTTTGAGGTAAAAGTGGATGTTTCTATGTAAATTAAAGTTGATAAAGATTTGACACTATCTTTTCATACCAGAGACTTGTCTCATTCAGTTCCCGAGTCTGAAACAATTCCCTTTTATGCCACTTTTGACAAAGACTCTTTGAATAACGTTGTTACATTATACTTTGCTGAAGCTGTCAAAAATTACGCTGTTATAATTGTTTTTTCCCTCTTTTCCTCTTATCTTTTCTCTTTCTTATACAGGCGATTTCTATTCACTCCTTTCCAAGCTGCTAGGAGAAAGGGAAGATGTTGTGCATGTGTATAAGCATAACCCTACAGAAAAGGCAGAATCAGATCTTGTAGCTGAGATTGCTAATGTAGTCCAAAAGAAGGACCTTGCCAGAGAGATCACAAATCATGACGAGAGGGACAGTACTAATCTTGTCAGAGACAGAATTCAGTCTGAACATGGCGAGGAAAGCTGGGAAAAAGAACATACAGGAGGTGGGTTAGGGGTTAATTTTATACAATGAAATGCAATGTAGGAGCTGTGATCCACATTAGCAAAATCTGAAGGGAATATCAGTTGATGCTAGGAAATATTTTACATGACAGTTTTCCTAATTATGGAAATGTTCTTGCTGTATTTTGAGGTATTTCAGTGGGGTTCTTTCTCTTCTGTGTGTGAAGAGAAAATGTGTACCAGTGGCACAATACCAGTACTTTGGGGGGCATAGAATATTTTTTTTCTACTCTCAGGACTTTTAATTAATGGTTTTGTATCAATTGTGCTAAAAAAGATAAGCACAGGATATATTAGACATGGGAAATGAATTAATGATTTTTTTTAATACAAATAACTGCTATGAAATTAACACTAGGATAATGCAATTTATGAGTTTTCTGATTACCTTGGTTTGTCAGATACAGGATTTAATAAAACTTATTGATGTGGTTCTAGCAGGTTTTTTCCTCTCACTCAGAAAGTGTGGTACTTAATCTTGAAAAACTCTTGAGAAGTAAATTCTCTGCATATTTATTTCAATAAATTGGGCTTGGCTATCCAAATATTCTTGGATAGACTGTTTTACCATACTAAGATTATAATTCATTCCCTTCAGGTTTCTATGACAGCAGAAGCTATGTATTGTGTTTGTTTTGCTTACATTTTGGTCTCTGTGATATTGACTGTGCTTGGTCTTACCTGCTAATGTGGAAAGAAAGATAATGCAGCATGTGACGTGTATGTCATAAAAGAAGCTGGTATGTATGCATGAAAGTCATTTGTATGCAAAAGCTGTAGCAGCACATGCTTACTTTTATGGTACAACCAGACAGCTTAATGTATCCAAGTACTGTTGTACACAAAATCCATTTGATTTTTATTTCAGTTCAAAATGTTAACATGTATTGTCTCCACTTATGTGAGATTCTGTCATAGTATTCAAATTCAGCAAAATTCTGAGTTTCTATTTAACAGAAACCAAAGGTGAGGACTTCCCAACATTGTGTTATGCTAGTTAGTAAAATGAGAGCCTGTTGAGTTATTGGCAAAGGTGCAGAAACATGTGGGTTGTTGCCGTGTGCCTGACATAATTGTAAATCATAAATAATTCTGTAAGTGACACTGGAATTAAATGCTTGGAAGAGGAATGTGTGCAATATATCTGCAAAAACAGTTCAAGCCAAGAGCGTATGGTGTGTAGAGGGGAAAAAAAGACATTTCCTTTCTGTTTTAACTGGTCCAAAGTCAGGAGTCTCAGTGAACTGAATAAAGGGCTTAGTTGTCGCATTGTATGGCATGAATTCTAACTACAGGGAGTGTTTGCTTGGCTACTTTAGTAGCTATATATTTCTTCGGGGGAGGTAAAGGGCTTAGTTATCACATTGTATGGCATGAATTCTAACTACAGGAAGTGTTTGCTTGGCTACTTTAGTGGCTATATATTTCTTTGGGGGAGGGGATTTTTTTGTGGAGGATTAATTAATGGACTTTCAAATGATGCAGTTTTGAGTCACAGCAAAAAGGAAAACTGAAATCATCTTAATTAGCACTGTTTGATTGGGTATTTTTTTTAATGTTTGTGATACTGGTAACTACCAAAGTTCTGAAATGCTGAAGCCCCCAGCGCCATCTTTTGGCAAAGGAATTTATATATAAAATATTTTAAATCTATTTAGTTTCTGTTTGGGGAAGTATTTCTGTATTAGAAGAACAAAACCTTCCAAAATGGAATTTTCCTCTTCAGAGGAAGAAGTGGAACATAAAGCGTTTTGACGTGTCTTGATTTAATAAAAACACTTGCACCCTTCATGTAAATCCTTTACTGTATTGAATTTAAAAAAAAAAAAAAAACAAACAAAAAAACAGTATTTCTTAGGACAAGATTCTGGTTTGCTGTTAAATTAATTTCATTTAACTGTTTAAAAATTACTGGAATTAAAATAGCTTAATATTTTTAGTCATACAAATATTCCAATTTTGAACATGTAAGACCTGAAACAGCAAGTGACCAATATGTTAAGTAAGGTTGTTCTAAATATTGCAACCTTTTACTACTGCTCTTCCTGCACTGTTGTTATCTTGCTACCATAAGACTGGTCACTAATCAGTCAGGTTGTTCAACATCACTGCAACCGGTACAATTGTACCTCCTAATTAAGGCATACAGTGCAATTCTTCAGTTTTTAAAACTACTTTCTGCAGGAGTTTTCTCAAGATTTAAATGACTACTCTGATGGCAGAGAGTAAACGCGGCATGACTGAAATTTGTAATGCTAAAAGCTAGCAAGAGCTTCAAGGGATTTCTACACAGCAAATTGCATTTTTGCTAATAAATAAGGCTTTATTCTTTCACTTGTGGAGAGATTAGAGTCTGATTTGCATGTTCTAAATCTGTGTAATTCTGTATAGTTTTACTGACAAAGGAATTACTCTAAATCACAAGGTAGAAGATTTGTTTAGAAATCTCATTTACAGTGAAATGAATTATTATGTACATACTTTAAGTAACTAAGATATTTTAATGGGCAAAAGTAATTTTCTCTGGTGTCTTGTATAACTGTTCCATGGACCACATAATTCTGTAGGTAATTAATAATCACTCTTACATAAATAAAGTGAAATTTAGTACATTTTTGTAAGAAGCTAGTTGCCTTGAGGTAAACCTGTATTGTAGTAATTTTAGTGTGAGACTTGCAAAGGGAAAAGGTAACAATAATAAACCAATTTTTGAAAGTGTTAGAAAATCTAGAAGTTGGGTAGGGGCTGGGGTTCTTGTAATAGACTGTATTTCACTGGCCATTCATTGTATTGGTCTGATCTATCAGAAATCTTTTAGTCCTTTAAGTATATTGTTGTGGTTTAAGCCCAGCCAGTAGCTCAGAACTCTCACTCACTCCCCTGCTACCCTTTGGGCAGGTTAGGAAGGAGAATCTAAAGAATGTAAACCCCACAGGTTGAGATAAGAACAACCCAGTAACTAAGGTGTAACACAAAACCACTACTGCTACCACCAATAATAAGGGAATTAACAAGTGGAGAGAATATAAAACTAAAAGGGGAAGGGAAAAACAACAATAAACACAAGTATTGCACAATATAATTGCTCACTATCTGCCTACCCATACCCAGCCTGACCTGAGCAGTGATCTGATCCTTCAGGGTTAACTCCCCCCAAGTTTACATACTGGGCATGACATGCTGTGGTATGGAATACACCTTTGGGTAGGTCAGGTCAGGTGTCCTGTCTCTGCTTCCTCCTGGCTTCTTGTGCCCCTCCTCACTGGCAGAACATGAGAGACTGAACAGTCCTTGATCAGGGTAAGTGCTACTGAGCAACAACTAAAACATCGGTGTGTTATCAGCATTGTTTTCAGGCTAAAGTTAAAACATAGCACTACACCAGCTACTGAGAGCAAGAAAAAGAACTGTTACAGTTGAATCCAGCACATACATATATTTTGTATTTTATAGTACATGCCTTTTGAGAGACTGAATTTTTAGAGGCCAAAATTTAGGTTTTCTGTGTTTAGCCTTTTAATTTTTCTCGCTTTTTTATGAACAAGCTCACAGGCCAAGTGGCACTGTAATATTAAACTTATACAAGTTTTCTGCAAGTTAACGTAGACTGATTGAGTTGAGCGAGTGGGAAAGCAGACACTGGATTTCCATCCTTTTATTCCTTGCAGAACCATAATGTCCATGAATATACCTGGTACCTCACCTGTTGTGACCAGCCAACTGCACAGAAGTATTAACATGTACAGTCTTTTTCTTAACAGCTTTTTGTTTACCTTGGAACTTTTAAAAATTGCTACAGAGTAGATTCCTTGGTTTAGAGGTTTCTGATTACTGTAGTGGATTCACTGCAGTTGATAGTTTAGGTTTGTGGTTTTGTGTTAGCCTAAACAGTTTCTCTATCACCTGTTGTAGCTATGGTACCTAAAACTACAAAGGTGAAGTATCTCCTAGCCTGTGGTAGGTTTTCAGTACTGGTTTTATCTTTCCCCTGTGTAGAATGTAGAAATGGTTTCCCCCCTGATCCCATCCTTGCTGTTGTTCCTCAGACTACATCTCTTCCAAGTGAAGTGGAAGTGGTAGGGAAGATGCTTATCTGAACAGCTGTGTTGACCTGGAGATTTTCGACATTGTTTCCCGTTTCATCTTTCCTTTCGGTAGAAGATCACTTCCAGCTAAACTCTCTCAAACTCTCTGGGTGCTGTGTGTTGAGGTCTGTGATCTGCCTTGCTTCTGAGCACTAATACCGTGGCTCTTTGTGAATGAGGACATGTATTTCACCTACCTGGATGGTACCCTAGTGATAACAGCAAAACACACAAACTGGGTGAACTGCAAGCTGCAAAGTGCAGGACGATACTGCCAAACGCATTGAATGCTAGTGAAACAGCTCCATTTTCACATAACTGCAAAGAAATTGCTTTTTGCTCACCTTCAGCTTGACTTTATGTGCCCTCATACAAAGGAAGCACTTCAGAAATACTTGACTTGTGCTGAACAGATTAATTTCTGAAAAGGAAGAGTGATGGATTTCCTAACTTGTAGAAGGCATTTTAGGATCTGTTTTTTTTTTCTTTCATCAGAACTAGTGACATTTACCTCACCAGTACTTTTTTTTTTTTTTGGGGGGGGGGGGGAATATTGTTCCATTGTTTCTTAATACTGCCAGAGCAACCCAGATCAACCTCTTCCAAATAGTATCTTAACAGTCTATTTATGAGAAATTAATGTTCGTAGCCAGTGCGCCACAGCCTTCTCAGATGTGGGGCTGTTTCTGCCTTTAATCAGTGTAAGTCTACTTTTACATAAACCAGGGGTTAAAGTAAAGGTCTTTTTATGGTTTTAATTTTAATCTTTAACTTGAAACTAAATTTGTCTCCATTCAGGACTTTTATGATTTAAGAAAAACACAAGAAGTAACTGACTTTTTAGCAGTGGTTCACTTGCTAAATCCTATGTTGTTAATTTAGTGTGAAAATCACATTTGTGTTATTCGAAAACTATCCAGTATTTATTCTTTTGAAAAGTGTGCTACAGCATAAACAATGACAGATATTCTGGTTTTCTTCATCTTTCGTCAAATTTAGACATCTGTTTCGTGTTCATGCCTATCATGCTTGGATTAGGGTATGAACAATATCCAGAACTAGTGCATATATTGGCCATAAGAAATGCCATAGGCAGATTTCACAGAATTACTTTTATGTTTGTTTCTCATTGCTGTTTTCCTTCCTTCCCTGTTTTTTTTTTTTAGTGTTAAAAGCTTTTTTAAAAAAAAAAAAGGTAATGAATCAACCACTTCTGAGATGTAGTTGGTTTAGTGATTCAGTTTTTGTTATGCATTTTCTAATAAAACACTGATGATTTAATATTTAAATTTGTCTGCTGATTTTGGATAGTAGTTGTATATTTCTGTAATCTTTTGGTGTAGAAATTATTCACAGTATCTAAAACTTCTAGAGTAAGTGTGTGCCTGTATCCTTACAAGATGAAAAAAAGAATGGAGTCAAAAGCAGTTTTGAGGTTTCTGTCATCTTTTATGTAGCAGCATGCCGGTGCTTGTGCATGCTTTACTATAATAAAACTATGCTTGGAATTAAATTGCAATTCATTAATGGAAATAATGTGTACAAGAAAATGTCCGTATAATTCCCAACAGCCTGTACCAAATGCCAGTTAATCATGCATTTAAAACCAGTTTTATCTATAAATATGCTACATGAATGTCTGTCTTTTGTTTCTTTGGTCAGATTTTCACATAGAAGAAGCTGTGGAGTGGCCTGGGTTAGACCTCAAACTTGGCCAAGTTTCTGGATTGGCTCTGGATGCTGAAAATAACCTAGTTATCTTCCACAGAGGTGACCATGTTTGGGATGAAAAGTAAGTAGATATTCTGCCAACTGGCATGCTAGAATGTCAAATTTATGTTTGTATATCTCCTTCATAAAAGACATTAAAATTCTCTTCCAATTGAAAATTCAGTTTTTCGGCTAAAAGTGCCTTCGGCAGACTCAGAAGGGACCTGGGGACTGACAGTTCAAGATGATGGGGTTACTAGGTCTTCAGACAGTAAGAATGTGTCTCCAGAGAAAAAGAACATAGAACATTAGGTCCTTAAACTGTATGGCCATGTTCATGTGATATTCACCAAGATTCACTATCCCTACTTCTCCATGTGTTTTAGCAGGACTAATTAGCCTGGGAGAATGATGGTATAATACTGTTAGCACTTGGGTTCATGAAAAGCTAGCTGTTAATATGTATTGTCTCAATTTATGTTTTCATTTCTTTTACTGTTTGCATCCACTGAACAAAATTAGATTGTTAGAAGGCAGTCTCTCAAAACAGGCTTTGTTCTACTCAACTGATAAAATTTACTACATTTAGTGTCACTCAAAACAAACAAAAGTCAAAACTATAATGGACATTTTTGTAGTGTTTCTAAAGTAATATACTTCAAAGTATATTATTTTAAGAAGAGAACATTCCAAATAAAATGTAGTGTCCTTATTTATACAGTGTCCTTATGCCTTTAAGCATAAAAATAGTACGTCCAACTGTTTAGATAGGCACTTTGGAAAAAATTCCATGAAATTGTAACAGAGTCCTGGGAGGAAATAGTAGTCTGTAACTACTGTTATGTAGTACTCTTTTTAAATGTGCCTTTTTCATCTTCTTTCTAAATGTCTGTTCTCCATATCTATAACCATAAGGCTAAAGAGTAGGGGTTTTTTCAACTCTGATGAATTCACTTTAAGATAACATAGTTTCTGAAGATTAGAAAGAGCAGCTTTCTCAAGTTTGTGATAATAAATTATGCTTGGAATACTGTTTTATGAAGCAAAGTAAGTTCATTGGGTTTTTAGCTTAATACAGCAGATAAGGTAATTATTTATGTCTCAAGCATTACATCAGTGAGCTCTCCAGCTCAGGTATATAAATAGAGTACAAAATTCAGAAGGATGACACATGCTGCAACTTGAATTACTGAAGCTTCAAGTAAATGTTGATATTGATTGGGGTGCTTTTCATCCTCCTATGCATGAACGTAAGTGCTGTTCTTCATGTCATTAAAGAAAGCTAGAAAAAATATTTGAAAATAGGCTGGCAGGTGTATTCATTTCTTCTGAAATGCCTATTTCTGAATGTCTGGCAATGGAGGTACACTAACAGCTGGAGTTCGAGACCAAGCAGTACTTGGAGATTCTATAGATTTTAAACAAAACACAAGAAAAATAAGTCTTTAAAGTAAATAGTATGTGAGCATAATGAATCAACCATATCTATAGGTAGATTGAACTTCAGCTTTCTTATGGTGTGGGTGCAGAAGAACATCAGATCTCTGGTCTGGACTTTGGAAATCCACATACCTACCAGCTGTGCTGGGTAACACTACATGTTCACTTAGCTGTGTCCTCGGCTGCAGCCATTGTTTGTACTCCGAGTATTTCCAGCATGTGATTATCAGACTTGCCAGAAAATTGCTTTATCTTCTATTTAGTAATGTTGATATGCACGTCAGTCCTGCGTGGGAGGTTGCCGTGTTTGCCATCATGTGACGACTGAAGTTGGAACAAGGTGAAACTGCTTGGCCTTGTATATATGATCAGAAGCATTTTGGTCCAGATATGTAACCAAGATGTATGATGAGCTGCTGTTAACTGAAGCTGGTTCTGGACCTTCCATAAAGATAACTACACATGATATATTAATTCATTTCAGAGGGGTTTTGTACACCAGTTTTGTGGGGTTTTTTTAATTCCTGTAGAGGATGGTTAATCAATACATAGAAAAGCTACTGTTGACAGGAAGCCTTTATATCAGGTAGGCTAAAACTTTCTTAGTCCTGTTTGTGTACAGTATGTGACTTTAAAACAAGGTATTTGGAAAACATACCTGTGGTTAAGGTGTTGTTCCATACCTTGTGGCACAGAGGAGGTGCACACAGAGGTGTGCTCTGACAATCAGCCTTTCCTTTTTTATCTTTGGGTACGTAATGGGCATATGAAATACTCTGGGGACCCTTTCATGGATTGTGCTGAAAAGGAAGGAGTATATGTGTGCTCATTTTTCAGTAAAAAGGAATAAGGAATAAAGATTTGATAGGTAATTATTATGGCTGTTGTGTGGTGGGGGGATAATACGTTATCAGACTTTTAAGTTAACATTTATCATTAGCTGCAAACACACAGTTAATTGAGTATAATATTCTGTACCAAATCATAAACATGATGAATCAATCAAGTGCCTGAAAGCTCAGAATTTGTTTTCCTGGTTTCAGTGCTTCACCAGCATCATATAGATACAATTAAACAAAAATTATCGTGCTGTTAGGCAATGCACAAATGTTTCCAATGCATTATTAATGTATGCCTTAAAAGGTGGATCTTCATTCAACTAAATACAGCTGGATGTATGGTCTATGCTCTTTTATAAGGCAACTTCAGTCTGCTTTAGAATACAAAAGCAGCTCTGCAGTGACAGGCCGCAGCTTTGCAGTAGCTGTAGCATTCCTTCTGTGCTTGATTCAAAAAGAAAATAAATCCTTTTAAATAAGTCAGGTTCTTCTAACACACTGTCTCCTTAATTTCAGAAGAATCTGATGTGTGCAGCATGTGCTGTTCAGAATGAAAAAATTACAACTATTCAGCTATATAAGCAATGTGTCAGTTGGAAGGTATTTTGCATTTTGTGATGAAAAAACTGTAAACTATTTATGCAATTTGTAGAAGATAGAATAGAGAATATACACCGTGTTCTTGTGGCTGCCTTCCTTAGCAAGCTAGGCAGGTTCATTTAGGCTGAGCACAGTACCACAATGGTGATGGATATTCATAAAGAATAGTGCTCAGGGTTGTGCCTTCAGGGGTTATGCGATCAGGTGGTCTGTCTGAATTTAATATGTAGCCCACCAGAAGGACATTAGATTTAGCAATAAATTCTATTAGTGTAAATTAGCCAGCTGAGAAGTAGAAGAATAGCTGTGAAATTACGTTGGGGTTTGCAATTAGAAGTAGTGACGCATGCAGTTTATTTGTCCTTCAATATCGAACTAATATAAAACTTCAATTTTAGTTGTCCTTCGATATTAAACTGCAGGACCTACTAGAAAACAATGCTGCAGAGCAATGTGACATACTATAGTAATGTATCCAGTTACTTTGTTTGGGTTTTGGACTTTCTTCTTCTAAGGTAACAGTAGTCGGCATAGTTTGTGTTCTCATTTGTCCTCCTCTATCAGTTGAAGCAAAGGGACATTGATTACTTGGGAAATTGGTCTCAAGTGCTGGGAAGGAAAGAGTGAGTGTGATTCCGTAGCATGCCAGTCTTCCTTGCTGAAAAGAAAATTTGAGAGGGAGAAAGTTCATGGAAAGTAACTCACACAGACTCATTTCAGAGTTCACTGTGCTTCCTTGGCGTAAAATACCATACAATCTCTTACTTACACTGAAAGCACTCAGTTCCCTAAAGTGCTGGATAGTTGTTAACAGGAAATACTTAGAAGTCTGGACAGCACTGGTAGTAAGAACCAAAATCACAGTAAGGAAAGCCAACCATTTTTTTTTAAGTTGCCTAGATAGTCCGTTTTCCAGAGATGCAATCTTGGTTTGTGGTTGGTTGGGTGGTTATTTTTTTGCACACTGCCTACTGATACTAAGAGTCTTTTCTGTGATTAGCTGTGCTGATTAATAATAATATTAGTAATAACATCAGTTCAGTCTGCCCCATGTTGGTTCTCCAGTTCTAGTCATCCATACCTAGAGCAAGTCTTTAAAAGTATTAGGCTCCTTTTTAAATGAAACTGTTTAAAACCAAAGGAGATTGTCACGAATGGTTACTGTCAGTAATGATAAAGAATAAAACACCTACTGAACCATGGTCAAAAAGCAGATATACATCAGTAGGCCATTTTGTGCCTGTATATCTGCATCTCCCTTTGTCTCCTTACAGCATCATGGCAGAGTTTTTAGGAGGACTCACTAGAGAGTTTTATTAACTATCACCTTGTGCTTAATCATTCACAGTCATTACTGATTTCTGTCAGATATTAAATAAACACAGATAGTTACCATATGTAATGGCAATAGCTAAATATTATTTTCTAATCATAGCCCATGCAGAAACTTAAACACATCCCATTATCAATTTTTCTGGTTATATATGAAGCCAGTATTGCTTTTCCACATTGAAAATTCTAAATATATAAATATTTAATATTATGCAGAGGAGAGGGTGCTGGGACTGTACAATATAAAGTTTTAATAGCTTCATCCATAGTCTTATCTGTGACTATAAGGTATATTCTTGTTTACTGAGTTGTTTCAACCACAGCTGTATTTCTCTTGGGATTAACAAATGGACTTAAAAATACAAGGTGGCAGCGGGGGGTATTACTTCGCACATTTTTCATCCACAGTGAAACACCATTTTATAACATTTAGACTTACATTTTGTTCAAAATATTTTGCAGTCTATTTACCTTCACTAAATGCTGAACCTGTATTTCAACAGGTCAGAGTAATAGGCAGCTTCCCGAGAGGGGTACAGACAACTGTATTTTTATTCTTTGTTAAGCATATGATATTTTATGCCTAGTAAATGTCTTCTGGACAATTAATCTTGGTTCTTCACATCTGAATGTTTAAATGTTGCTTATTTTAAGGTATTCCACATACCCTTAAAATTGAGTTTGTAGTTGTGGGGTGGAAAAGAAACACATCATATGCAATAGTCTCCTGGCAGGCACTCCCTGAAAAGAGTAAGAACCTTAAGACCTGAATCTTTAATAAGTTTTAGCAAAATATTAAATTGTGTTTGGGGAAAAAATAAAACAAGGCAAAGATGCACAGACTGGCTTAGACAGTGCAGAGTATACGTTTTTACTGTCAATTATTCCCTGGTAAATAGGTGTATTTTTACTGAGGCTGCATTATTTGAATTGCCATTTCTGATTTGCCATGGCAAAGAAGATTAGAAAAAGAGTTTTTTGCTTGCTGACTTTAGGATTATCTTAATTGTTGTTGTGTTGTTTTGGTGCTCCTTTAGTTTGGAAATCACAACCTCGGTAGGAAATGCAGACACCTACCACTAACTCTTACAATCATACAGTAATGCAATAAGCCTTATTTAAAGAAAAAAAAGAAGGAAATAACCCCACACTGGAATTAAACTACAGAACTCATCTTTAAGTTGCATCTGAACTACTTATCAGTGTAACCTTCTAATGGTAGCTTTCTGTTCCAATATTTTTGTGTAGTTCTTTTGACAACACGTTTGTTTATCAACAAAGAGGACTTGGACCAATTGAACAGAGCACAATTCTTGTCCTGCATACAAGTAATGCAAAACTGCTTCAGTCATTGGGCAAAAGCCTGTAAGTTACATTTGCTTTTATTAATCAAACTAACATTTCTGTGTATTTTACTCCATAAATGTCCCCAAAGCCATTTTAACGTTTTATATTACATTGTGTGACTGTAGTCTCTGAGTTTATTAAATTATTACAAAATCAACAACTAATAAATGTAATTTGCCATCTTTCCATGTGTGTTTTCTAGCAATTCATACAATTTCATCTGCCAGCCAAACAAAAATAGAGAGCTCATGAGTATTATATGTTGTCTTTAAGATACCAAGTACGAGCCTGAGTGAAATTCCAGAGATAAACTGAATTTCATAGCTGAGACTCTCTTGTCAAGAAAATTTTATTCTGTAAAGTTATCTTTTTCGTTAAATACTGCAATTAGTTAGTATTCACAGTATTTGTTGACCTGTAGATAAAAACTGAAATCTCCACACCTACATCACTCTTCCTGAAAGATGTTTTTAATTTGATTCTTCTATATTTATGCTTGCAGATTTTATTTACCACATGGTTTGAGCATAGATAAAAATGGTAACTACTGGGTCACCGATGTAGCTCTCCATCAGGTACGTTTACATTAGCTTTAATGGTATCATCATAATATTTTGACAAAAAATGTTTTTGTTTTCCTAGAGATTTGTCACAAATTATTTATTTA